GGTTTTGTCCTCCAAGATTGGTTTGATTTTGGGGGGTTTTGGACGAGATTCTTCATCAATTTTCAGCTGAGCGAAGGTGATTGTGAAGAGGAAGTCTTCAACAATCTAGTAGCGGATTCAGTGATATTGAAGGGAAGATTTCGGGTTCGATTTGTTATAGTTGAGATCAGTCGGGCCGAGGGTTTGAAGAACTGAGAGTTATTCAACAAAGGGGCTGGAACCGGAGGTCTATCAACAACAATTGGAGGACTTGATTCACCTTGAATCAAGGAGCAAGGAGTGGAAGCAACATTCAACGTCTTGAGAATTCTGTTGTTTATTTGCTTTTCAATCCTTGTATAAACTGTTATACTCAACAGGTGATATCTATTAAATCAATCTCAATTCTAGTTTTAGAATTGAGGGCAAACGTACCCCGAAGCGAGGACGACGGGGGAACTGCCTCACCAAATCTTTGTCTTCTCTATTTTTCAGCATTTCCGTTTTAGCTTAAAAATAAGTAATTTTTGTATAAGCACTATTGTCAGACTGTGATATTAATTGAGTAAGAGGTTGAAACTCTGTTTTTGAATCCAAAGTACAATAAGACATTGTACTAGGCTAATTGGAATCACTTATTCAACATAAATATCACTTGGAGTGTTTTTGCACACCAAGTGTTTGATAATTTGCCTAAATCAAAATTACCTTAGTTGTGTATCTAGTTTTGGTTTGCTCTTTGAATCATTGGAACTAGGAATCCTAGCAAGTGAATTAAATCATTGATAAGTGTGACTAGTGTAGTGATTCTCTTTCCATATTGTCATTAATCCATAGGCTAGACGCATATCCGGTTTTCCAATAACCGTTCGTTTTAGACTATATTTTCCTCGGCCGCTTCCGCACTTAAAACAAATTTTCAAAACCAATTTTTTAATTGGTAGCGCCAACTCAATTTTAATTGGGATCTATTCAACCCCCCCCCCCCCCCCCCCCCCCCTTCTAGATCCGTGCATAGTCTAACAACTGCCTCATCAAATTTTTGTCTCCTTTATTTTTCAGCATTTTCATTTTGGCTTTAAAAATAAGTGAATTTTGTATAAGCACTTTTGTCAAACTTTGATATTGATTGAGTAAGAGATTAAACTCTGTTTTTGGAATCCAAAGTACAATAAGGTATTGTACTAGGCAATTGGAATCACTTACTCAATACAAATATCACTTGGAGTTCCTTGCACACCAAGTGTTTGATAATTTGCCTAAACCAAAATTATCTTAGTTTGTGTATCTAGTTTGGTTGGGTTTTTGAATCATTGGAACTAGGCATCCTAATAAGTGAATTAAATCATTGATAGTGTGACTAATGTAGTGATTCTTCTTTTACATTGTCATAAATCCATAGGCTAGACGCATATCCGGTTTTCCAATAACCGTTCGTTTTAGACTATATTTTTCACGGCCACTTCCGCACTTAAAACAATTTTCAAAACCAATTTTTAATTGGTAGTGCCGACTCAAATTTTAATTGGGATCTATTCAACCCCTCCCCCCTTCTTCTAGATCTGCGCCATAGTCTAACACATACATGGAAATTCATGAAAAGTTATACTCCTCATACCTTAGCCGATTCAAAGCCTTCACGATTATCTCCGGGAATCTTTCGAAGCTTTTGCCTCCAATCCTCCCTCCTCAGAGCTCTGGCCTCCATTCTTTTCACGGTTAACAAAAATGAATTCTAATTCCCTTCAGAATTCTATTTTGTCCAACCTATCTTTAGGCCTCACAATTTGGGCTTTTCTCTTATTACCCTTACTAACTCCTCCAAATGCCCAAATTGCCCTTATCCAACTTATATTTATTTTAATTCATAATAATATTAATATGTATCTATTATATACTATTATTCAAAATAAATAACCCAAATATGCATAATTCTCCATATTCCACAAAACCATCTAAAATCACCAAAATACAAATATTCTCAATTAAATAAATTAATTTAAATATTTCAATTAAAATTTGAAGTGTTACAAACAACACTTAAATTAATATTGTTTCGTTGATCTTTCAAAAGCATATGACTATCTATCAATAGATATTTGTAATGTGATTCTCAATATTGTGATACAAATTATTCCTAACAGATTGAAACAAGAGTATTTTTCCTAATCAAAATAGTTTCAAAGGTTTGAGGAGCTTTATTGAAAATAATATTATCTTTCAAGAAATATTCCATACCTTGCAATCTATCAAAGAAATTTTATATTTTATGGTGATTAAGTTTGATCATATGCAAAAGCCTATAGTAGATTGGAATGTAATTTATCAAAGAATATATTGGTTTTTTCTATCTTCTGTATCAAATAGTAAATTGTATTTTAATGATAAAAAGTGTCATTTAAAATGGAAAATAATTTTTACTCCAATAGAGGAGGATGATCTTGAATTTCGTAGTCTAGAGTATGTTAATACGAGTTACATGATGAAATTGAGTTGGAATTTGAAGATGAAAACTTACACGCTATAGGTAAAAATCACTTGAGCTAAATATAATATATAACTGGCCGTTTTAAATTATTTTCAACAATTTTTTATTTGTCTAATATTTATTATTGTCAGTATTAAATTTTATAATTGTGTTAATTTTTATTATTTTTTACAAAAGATTCAAAAAGTATTTTTTGGTAAGTTCAATTAATTTTATGTTAGACTAAAATAATGGTGTTGGTGTGTTTTTTAATCTAAAACACATGTATTATTTATAGGCTTTAATAAATGAGGAGGTGTAACAATAGTATTTTATGTTTGTCCATATAATTAAACTCTTATAATTTGGCCATTTGGGATAGACTATTCTTTTTTCTATTTATATGTGTAATTTAAAATATTTATTATTGTTGCTAAGAGTTAATTTTATTGCTAGTAATTAGTTATTTAATTTTACTATTGAATGATTGGTTTGTTTTTGTGCTAAGTGTATTTTCAATTACCAAAATAATGTTATTATTTTTTTTTAGATATTAAACTTTATAAAAAATAAATAAAGGACGTGCAACAAAATTTAAAGGTATGATTAGAAACTTAAAAGAAACAATTGAGAGAATAAAAAAATATAAAAATAGAAATAAAAATTTAAAATGAGTGATAATTGTGTTTATCTATGAGTAACTCTTATAAAGGAAAGGATGAGGTTGTTGTAACATATGATTTATGGATAAAAGTTGAAGTGGAAATGTTCAAATTTGTTGGTAGGTTCTATTCCGGATTGATCCAATGATTATGCATGACACAATCCATTTCTCCACCCAGAACGATCCAATAACCATAGCCCTGCCAGCTAAGGGCAAAGTGAAGCTCTCTTCCATGCCCCTCTGTCGAGGAAGGCTGGTCAGCAGACCCCTAGAATCAACTTTCCCTCATTGAATTCTTTCCCGTCACGCACGGTTTCACCATCCAAAAACAGTCACGACGCTTGTGTCCGCGGTCACGCCCTTGCCCGAGGCAACGACTAGTTTTGAGTGCATCTTCCCGTCCCAACGACTAGTTTCTGGCAGTTACATATTCTTCGAAAGCGAGTATCTCGCCCCGAAAATAGGGAACAATGACCAAATGCTTGGGGCATTATAAAAACCCTCTCACTTGAGAGGGTCAGGTATTCAAAATCATTTCAAATCACCCTAAGACATACATATTTTTTACTTGTCTTCTCTTCGTCTGATTCTTACTTCAGCATCGGAGTGCCTTGCAGGTACATCCCCTCCTTATCCTTGCAATCCAGCATCACCGACAAAGTCTCTGACCCACTTCAGATTCTGATCAACCGTCAAGATCACTAAGTCAGGCGAATAATCTGCACATTAATATAGTTGTGGCCTTCAGGGTTGGTCTTGGGCCCAGGCAAGCAAGTCCACAACCCAAAGCCTCCAAAAATAGGGGTCTCAAAATTATTTTTTATAAATTATAAATCTGAAATAAATATATAAATATTAGTTGTTGAATTTAATTTGTAATATAAACTATTTAGCATTTAGCATAGTGGTAAAGAAACTTGTTTTTAACTCAAAGGTCAATTGTTCAACTCTTAATATTTACGGTTTTACTATTTAAATATATTATATTTTAATAAGAAAAATTTACCTTCCTGTTTATTGTGGTCCATTTTTAAAATTAGATCAGAGCCTCTAAATTTTCAGAGCCGACCCTGGTGCCCTCCACCAAAATTTCCTTTAAAATATAGTTTATCATCTTTCGAATCCTGACATATATGCTCTCATATAATTTTTTTACAAAAGATTTGGAACGATCGTCGGTGTAGCCTATAAGAGGATCCCACCAAACAACTTCTAGTGTTTTAGGATTTACTTACCCAATGACTTGCACACATGTTACATTACTTAGTTTGTGTTTCAAGATGGCTTAAACAAAGAGCTCACATGTTACCCCAAGAGCACATAAGTGTTTAAGCACATTGGATCGTGTATTGTCGTCAACAATTGTAATAATTACGTCTCGACAAGCATTGCATAGCATATCATAAGTTTGGGTCGCCATCACAATCCCCTCTAATTAATATTTTGAATTAATTGACTTATCAAAATACATCGTTGACTCTTATTTGCTCACATATAAATAATTGACTCTTTTTACTAAAATATTTTTCCTTTTTAATTTAAGAAGTCATAAATTCATTGGTTTTCTTTCTACAAAAATACTAACTAGTTATATTGGTCATTTAAAAAAAATGCTTACAAGTAAAAAATAATTAAAATAAGAATAGTTCCATTTTTTTCTAAAAAAAATATACATATAACAAATAATCAGATTTTGAAAGAAAAAAAAAAGCATTAAAATTTTCCATTTTCATATCAAAAAATATACTTTTTGTTTTTGAGGAAGAAAAAAAAAAGAGAATGATAAGCATTATATTGATGATATCAATCATTCGTGCTATAAAGAGTCTCCGTTGAGACGAACAAGAGAACAGTGAGACCGAAGAGAGTGATCCACAGTGAACTGCAGAAATGGAGATTGGGTTTTTGGGTTTGGGGATAATGGGCAAGGCCATGTCAATCAACCTTCTAAAACATGGCTTCAAAGTTACTGTTTGGAATAGAACCCTCTCCAAGGTACCTAACCTAGCTACCCTTTCTGCTTCTGCTATTCAACAATGATTCTTTGTTATTCTTCTAATTCCACGTCTTTTGGATCTAATTGTAGTGCGATGAACTTGTTGAACATGGTGCTTCAGTTGGAGAAACACCTGCAGCTGTAGTCAAGAAATGCAAGTATACAATTGCAATGTTATCTGATCCTTCCGCTGCTTTGTCGGTCCGTGGCTGCGAAATTTGTCTATGAAATGAAACATGTTTATTTTTGTTGTATTGAAATTATTTTTGTGTTGAATTTTTTAGGTTGTGTTTGATAAGGATGGTGTTCTTGAGGAAATTAAAGGAAAAGGTTATATTGACATGTCGACCGTTGATGCCGAGACATCTATCAAGATATCTGAGGTTGGTAGCTGAGATTGTTTATCTAACTATAAACTATAAATATGTGATTGCAGTCATTATTTTGAATTTGCTCATTGAGGGTTTTTGTTTTTATGGAAGTTTAGTTTGTTGGAAGTGTATAGTACCAGAGATTTATGTTTGGATGAGGAATACTTAAGTATGAAGTTACGATTTCCTAATTTTGGAAGCGAGAATTAAAAGACTATGTACTACATTATTGATTATTTGCGGATTCTTGTCGTATAATGTTTGAATATGTGTTATCTTGTTCAAAAAGAAAGAAAAGCAATTATGTATATCTAGTACTTCTCTTTGACTAAGTTCTGTATGTATGAATCAAAAGGTTTGTTGTAGTAACTATATTTTCTTAGCAATGCGATGATAATCGATTTTTCTAATGGAAATGGAAATAAGACCTTACGTATAAATTGCAACTGAAAAAGCTTCTTTCTACAGGCAATCAAAGGAAAAGGCGGTGATTTCCTTGAAGCTCCTGTTTCGGGTAGCAAGAAGCCTGCAGAAGATGGCCAACTAGTAATACTTGCTGCTGGACACAAGGTATGTTTAAATGCAAAAGATGCGGGAAAATGTTATGTCATCTTGCTTGCACCATGTTCGGTTGTGCTTTTAACTATTTGGAGAATAGATTTATTCGAAAGTGTTCCCTCTTATGTGATATGCTTGCTTTCATGGTTGGAAACTTTCAGAGTATAAGCATGCGTAAGGTACTTTAGGATATAACAACATCCTCAAGCCTTTCAAACGATTGTCTGTTTTATTATCACCTTCTACCAGTGACTATAATTGTGTCATTCGGAACTTCATGAAATTCATTTTATATCTGTCATAAACATAAATATAGCTAATGATTTGATACATCTGAATATGTATCTTTGCACATCAAAATTGACTAGAACATCCTTTTTTATTAAGAATGGACTGGATTATAAATCTATTTTGAAAATGAAGTTATTAGCAAAGAAAATTGAAAAAGAGGGGAAGTTAGGAAAGTCGGAAAAATGTGTATGATGCACAAACTATACTAATTCTTTTTAGTTTAATTCCAACTATTGGGTTGCTTTTAACTCCATAACATTTATTAATGTATGTATAAGTATACAGTTAAAATATCAACATTGTTTAAATTGGTTTAATTCTCTTTCAGTTATGCAAAAATTTAGTTTGTGAGAGAAATGATACAAGTGATCTCACAATTCAAAATCAGTGAGACAATGTTTTTTTTGTTGTTATTTTCTCTCGTGCGCTGTATTTATGCGGTGATAGTAAGCGCTCATATAATAAACACTTGATTAAGTTGTTTATGGAAAATTCACTTATAGTTCCATTGAGGTTGCAGAGACGATGGTTGTCTCTCATTAGGCTTTGAGTATGATGTTGAGGGAAGTAATTACTAGAAACATGGGTTGAAATCCGGCCATTTAAATTACGAAGTGAAGCTTAACAAAATAGACTAAACTTTCTAAATACAAAGACCACAGGTATCCTAATTACTATACATGATTTGTTTATCTTATACAATTCCATGTTTTATCATTGTTTTAAGCTGTCCATCGAACTTGGTTGCATTTTGCATAGTTATGGCATTGTGTTTTGTTATTACAGTTCCATGAATCAGTACTCCATTTAGATTCCTTGTTATAAACCGCCATGTTTTAAGGAAAATGAAGAACTACAAACATGCACTGTACCATCCTACATATTAAATTTAAGTGGTTGATTTATTTGAGATATAGGCATTATATGAGGAAGCACTTCCAGCATTTGATGTACTCGGAAAGAAATCTTTCTTTCTCGGTGAGGTTGGAGATGGTGCAAAAATGAAACTTGTTGTCAACATGGTAATGGGAAGGTACTTTTCATCCCATATTTTCTCTTGTATCCTTAATTTCAAAGTAGGAATGTGGATAAACAGCAAACAAGAAATTTTTTGGATAAACAGCATAATTAAACACTTATAGCATAAGCACTTCTTATATAATTGCTTGTATATAAGTTATTTCTATTAAAAAAAAGATAATATAGAGTCAAATTGTTTTCATATAAGTTATAAGTTATTATGTAGAGCTTATGGAAATAAGCTTAAAATAGGTTATAGATATGGCATAAGTTGTTTCTATAAACTCTCACAAACAATCTCATAAGTGCTTAGCCTAGTATACAAGTTCATATTAGTCAACCCAAACAGACCCTGTATTCATCCAAATCGCATATTTTTATTCCTTATTTGGTTTCACGCCAGATTGCATGTAGTTATTTATGTCTTGCTTTGTAAATTAGCTATTCTCTTCTATCTCTGTTACAGTATGATGAATGCTTTCTCTGAGGGACTAACACTTGCTGAAAGAAGTGGCTTGAACCCTGGCACACTTCTTGATGTGCTGGTAAGTTATTGGGATGAGGAGGATTCTTGTTGATGCTTTTTATTGATATTCTGAGAATATTGGTATATTTTTTATGCAGGATCTTGGCGCTATAAGTAACGGCATGTTTAAACTGAAAGGACCATCAATGCTGAAGAACAGTTACGCCCCTGCTTTTCCACTGAAACATCAGCAGAAGGACATGAGATTGGCTCTTGCCCTTGGAGATGAAAATGCTGTACCAATGCCTGTCGCAGCTGCAGCAAATGAGGTAATACTATTGGTGTGTGTGTATACGTGTGATGAAATGATTCAGGTTATGAAAAATAAATCTGAAAAATAGTTGAACTATTTTGGTTGGCATTATGCGAATTTGACGAGGTAAATAAATTTAAACTGTGTTTGTAGGCATTCAAGAAAGCCAGAAGCATGGGATTAGGAGACCTTGATTTTTCAGCTGTCCACGAGACATTGAAATGAAAGCTATTAAATGAAAGCTCTTGATCATTGATCATTGACATGATTAATTGCTGAATTGATTGAACTACTGTTATGAGCAACAGCAGCATGATGTAAACCATAGATCTATATATATGAAATGGCTGTTTGAACCTAGTTCATTGCTATATTCTCTTATTTTAATGTAATTATGAACCTAGCAAGTTTTTCCTTTCTTCACCACAACATGAAATTAAAAGACATAATTAGTCCCTTCCTTTAATTTTGAGCGAAGTTTCGCTTTGGTTCTTGAACTAAAAAAACACTACACAATCTTTAGTTTTACTTCCGTTAAATTATTTAGTTCCTACTATTAGTTTGTGTAAAAAAAACATTAATTATGGCTGAGGTGATATGTCAGATAAACAAGAGACAAGTTCTCTCCATCTTCTCCATTTTTCATATGCCACTACTCACCTTGACTACAAGAAATACACCACAATATACCACCATCACCGGGTGAACAACCTCCATCTTCCATTTGTCAACCACCATATAATCTGTTGCAACCATTCAAACACATCCCTCCCTTTACATCTCAACAATATAATCTGTTGCAACCATTCAAACACATCCCTCCCTTTACATCTCAACAACTTGTTTGACCACTACCATATATTTTTCCACTGCTACTCACAACAGACACACTGCCTCTCACACAACTGTTCTTCGTAGAACCTCACAACTAACATAACCTATAGCATCACCCTAAAAGATCCATGCTCAGTAAAAAATAGAAAGAAAAAAAACATAGTTTAAAAATTAACACATTCATCTCTGTTAGCAATGGATACGCTGGCCTACAACGTACATCTTCTCTTCACTGCATACTACCATAACCACTCAGCTCCATCAACCAACATTCTAACGAGCCCGGTAACGCAACAACCCCAAACCAATCTATCACTATCGTGAATCTTCAACAACACAACAACCAAAATCAAAAGCAAAGAAAAAGCTAATCAAAGAAGTAGAAGAAGAGAAGAAAAGAAAAAATCAAAGCAAAAGAAAGAATATCGCCGGAAACTACATAGGCCGTCGGTAAATTCGACATCATCGCAAATTCAAGTCCGATACGTTTTCCACGTTTTCCCTTGTTTTATCCGATTAAACCATTTTAGTACCTTGTATGTTTGTTTCTCGTAGTTTTATCGCATTAGTTACTTCCAGTTTGTTTCAGCCGAATCAAAATTTGAATATTAGGTTTGAGTGTTTTTGAGTTTTGTTACTATTGTGTGCTGAGATTTTCGGTTGAAGTTTCAACTGAAAGGAGGAGTTGAGAGAATAGGCGTGAGTTTTTTTTTTTTTTAAATGCATGAATTTCGTTTGATTTTCATTGCTAAGAAGAAGTTTGTTTTTGGTTTCGGAAAAAACGTAAGAGGACGTGAAGAAAAGGAGATGAGACTTTGTTTCAGAATTTAAACATTTGTCTCTTTAAACAAATATTTAAAAAGTTTAACTCACTCCAAATACGATCAGTTTTGTTTGTAATATTTTCATTAATAAAATATTCAAACTCAGTCATTAAAAGTTCAGCAAAGCAAATTTTATCTTTTTTTAAATAAAAACTAACATAAATAACTAAAAAAATATAACGGAATATAAGTTAATAAATTATTATATAACTTTTTTTTTAAATTAAAAAATTTAACTAAAGTTAAAGGATCAAAAAGATATTAAACCAAATTAAAATATATTGGTACATGGATTTAGTTCAACCTGTTGCATTGTAGTGGATTGTATTTTTCATTAGATCACTGACAGAAATAGTTTACACCATGTAAATGGTATAAATAGGCCCCGTGTATGAAATACTATTGCGCAGGGTAACTTGATTCAAATACACACACATACTATTGCGCAGGTAACTTGATTCATATACACACGAACACGCACACACAAGTAATTATTATGCACATGCACTAGACGTTATTATTGACTAACCCTCCAACTAAGCATATTTTAAACATAACTTGTAAAATGCTGGCTACTATTGAAGTTTCTACTCAACAAATTACAATCATCCTGTATGAGTCCTTTCATTGAAAATAAGATTACAGTCTCAAGCCAAACATACTCCCACACACCACCGGCTTCAATGATGTTTTGGGTGAATTAGTAGTATTTCCCAATTGAAAATTGAAGAATTCTCTTGGATACTTGCCTCTCCACTTTCCCGTGATTGCCATAAATTAGCTAAATTTGACGAAAGAAACATAACTGCAAATTAGTTTTAACCTCAAATTTGCCCTTAAAAAAATTGAGATGCATGGTCTTTACAAATAGTTTTCTATGAAACAAAAAAAAAAAAGAAGGCAAGCACCCCTGACTCAAAGGAATAGACTGGAACAAGTACAAACAGAGACATTTGCAACTACAAGGAAGGGTCCTAAGGCAGTTGAGGAAGAAGGCATTATGTTCAAGCATTGGAAATAGATTCCCATGAAAATCATCTAGACCAGCAGCAAGAGTTGGTTACTAGAAATAAACTCATATTCAACAACAAAATATCAATTTAAAACAGTTCCATCCTTCGATTATATACACTTAGCATCAAACCTCGCATGGAGGAATTAAGATTAATGACAAGCAATCTCATCTAATCTGTTCAAGATTTTGGGAATAGTTTGATGTTTGTTAGAGTGGGGAATAGAGAGAAACCCTTCTAAGAAATATAACAACTTTTCCCAATTCTCTTTTTCAAAACACACTGAATAATTACCTTTTCGTTAAAAATCTCCTTGTAATTGTTCGTTCCAAAAATTATTGATTTTATAACTATCAACAACTTCAATACAAGAGACAACTAGTGTTTAATGACATAATCGATAAACACAGACTCAAAATAGAAAAGATAAACATACAAATTATGTTTTAGATTACGTCAAAATAGAAAATGCAACATCAAACAAAGAGTAATAATAAAAAAGAACTTGATAGAAATTAAGTTAAAACACATTAACCCAACTTAGTCAAAAGTTTAACCAGAAATAGGCCCATAAAAGTATCCAAAATTTTAACCTGAAAAATAAGTAGTGCAGGCAACAAAAAATTTCAAGAAAATGTTTATCTAAGTGCAAACTCATAAAAAGTTCTAGATCTGTCTCTGGACTGCAAACAAACACATTTCACTCATCATCCTCATCATCTTCGTCAACAGCAGAGTTAAGATTTTCCAAGCGGGTGATCAACTTAGCTCTCCTCTCCTCGTAGGTAAGTTTCTTCAAATTATATCTAAACAAAAGATAAACAATAATTAAGGAATTTCCACCAGAGAATGTAATAATAAGAAAATTACCAAATCACACGTAAAAAATAATAAAAGAGAATCCCTAGTTTGGAGATGCTTCCACCTCTATGGAAATATTATTTTCAACCTCAAATTCCAGTTTGAAAGAGACAAAAGTATTTGGAAAAAAATGCTTGCTTATTTGACCTATAATTGCCTGCCTACTCAACTCAACTTAAATCTTATAAACATGCCAAGACAAAATGTTTTAGAATAGTTTTTTCTAGAAGCACAACTTACCTCTTGTGCTGTGTTGGAGGCTTCTTCTCTGATTTCTTAATTGTAGGGTCTGCACGGATGGCAGCATGAACCTTCTTGTAAAGCTCCTCAAGCCCATCGGCCTCAATTCCTTTCTTAATATACTCACTGAAATGAGTCTGATATTTCTCTGGTTCATCTTCATTCAAAGTCTGTTGAAAATATTAAATGTTATACAAAAATATTAGAAAAGTGTGTGCATTGCACGCAAAAATAACATAAATGACATAAGTGTATCCATGCCTTCATATAGGCAGCAACATGTCCACCAAAGATATATTTGCGGTGAACCTCAGCATCAAGCTCCTTCTTTTCCTTATCGAAACCAGCAAACCTTTTGTCACTGTGAGGAATATCCAAACCACCATCCAGTGCTCCCTGTGAATCCATCACAATTATTAAACTCAACGATCAACAACCAAGGTAATGTCAATAACAATATGTATTGCAACACGACATTCTGTTCTGAGTACCTTCAGAGCACCAAAGACACGGTTTCCAGTTGTGGTCTTAACAAGACCAACATCAAGGAGAGCACGGAATGGCCTCCTGGAATCAGCTGGCTCCACAGAATAATCCTCTCCGGTAGCCTGTTAAGTGGTTAAACTAGTTAGATTACAAATTGCAATATAAACACGAGATATACAAAATTGAAATATCAAGACAAGACAGTATAAAATTACAATATCAAAAGGCAAGACAGTAAAAAATTAACCCACCTCAACATTCCCCTCATACTCGTCATCCATCTCAAGTGTCTTAAGAACCCGACGGGCCAAGAGGAGTCCAGTACAATAAGCTGCTCAGAGAATAACATATATTCCAACTTAATGCAACATGAAAAAGATGGACACAATTTCTTAAGAAATGGGCAAAAAAAAAATAATTCGCATAAACAAAATACCTGCAGCATAATTGGTAAGACCTACTTCAAGACCAAAGTGTGGCAGCTCATGTGAATATGCAGCAGCAAGAACAATATCACCAGCAATACTGGCAGATACTATTTGTGCAACAATATCTTTGTTGGTCTAATACAGAGGTTAAGTTTTACAATCACAGAAAACAACAAAAATAACTATGAACTACAAGCTATCAAAAGGGTGATTTAGGGTTTTGGAGGAATTAGATTCAAGTCAGCAACTATCACTTCTAACAACCAATTACTAACATTTGTCAATCACAAAGCATAGTAACTTAAACATAAGTTAAAGGACCAATTGGATTTGAATCACATAAAACCATTACTTCTTTCACAGAAAAAAAAATAATAGGTCAAATTGAATTCGAGTGCAAAAATAAAATCATAACTAATAGCTTTCAATTGGATACAAATCGAACAACAAATCGGTACTTTGGTGTGTTGTACTTATTCTTATCCTGATTGATCAACCGAATCCGAGCACGGTAATCAGTCTTACCCTCTGCAGATTTATCATCGAACAACACATCATCAGTATATTAAAATTACTATTCCCGAATCATAAAAAAAATCCCAAATGTAAAAGGCGAAACAAACAAGTATAAATACCTCTCCTTCTCTTAAACTTGACTTGGTATCTCTTGAAGTAAGCCTTCGACTTCTGAGACTTCGCAAAAACCTATTTTGCAATACACAGATCAAAAAACTGTTAAAACATAATCTCTTAAAACCATCTATCACAAACCTATACAGATAAAAACACATTTCAATTTCAAATCAGAGTGAATTATTAGCATAACACTCAAAGCTAATGAAATACGAGAAACAGATTTAACGGATCAAAGGAATTAACACTGTGATAGGTACGAAATGAAGATTATACAAGCTAAATGAAAATGGAAAACGAAGCTGCTAATGAATACCATTGTTGCAGATGGTTGAAAGGTCGATCCGCGAGAGTGGTTCACGAGTGATAACCAGAGCTAGGGTTAGACAGAAAGGGTTTTGTTTATAAAGCATTGATTTTAGTGGGTCGGGTTAAAAAGTATTGGGCTTCTGTGTTGGGAATGTCCAGGCATAGGTGACTTAGGGTTGGGCTATTTCAAATTAAAACTCTAAACTAGATTATAATTCTTAGTTTTTTAATATAGTAGAAAATATTTATAAAAAATATATAGTTAAAATATGGGCATATTTAAGACCTAGCCTGGGACTAGTTTAATAAAAATATTAGGTTTAAATTCTTTTTTAAAAAAACTATTTATTTAAACACTAGCTTCTCTAAAAAAAACTAATTGAGTTTGTATATGCGTAATTAAAATAATAATGAAAAAATAAAATAAAATTTTAACACGAAATTCATGTTGTTAATTTTTTATCTGGAGAGTTCATGATTATTATAGGTGTGACAAAATGAGTTGCGGAAGTCAATGAGCTGTGTTAGGGTTTGCATATGACAACAAAGTAAATCAAGCTGGAAAAGATGACTTGAAAGATAAAAGCAAAAAGAGAGTCAAAGGAGGTGAAAAACCCTCTGACCTGGATCATTCATGCCTCTTGTCTATGATGATCTAGAAAACAATGATGTTGAAAATGTGAGAATGGTACATACTACCGAGAATGTCTCGTACAAAGATGATGTCATTGGAGAATATCATTTGAAAATAAAAGGAAGTGATGGTTTTCAACTAGGAAGTGAGAAAACTAGTGGAGAGATGGTGACCAATGAAGGACTAAAGATAGAAGGAAAAAATCGGAGAATATGTTATCATGTCGGAGGTAGAGGAGAGAAGAATTTTGCAGCCATAAAGGAAAATGAGTTATAATGAAGATTCTTGGAAGGAGAATTGGGTACACAACTTTAGAAAAACAAGCTTCAACAAATACAAGGCAGAATATGTGTGATTAGCATTGTAGATATGGAACAAAAGTACTTACCTATTTACTTTTTCCAATGAGGAAGACCAATATCATGCACTAATGGATGGTACATGGTTAATTTATGACCATTATCTATCAGTGAGAGAATGGGGTCCAAACTTCAACCATGCTAATGATGTCATTGTTTAAGTAGTTATTAGGGTGAAAATTGAAAGTTTTCCAATAGAATATTATGATGACATATTCCATTCTTTTATTATAAACCGTATAAGGAAAACAATTAAGGTTGATAAGATTACCCTTTGTGACGAGATTGCACTTTTTTGTATGAATTGTGGGAGACATGGCCATTATAAGGAAGATTGTGACGAAAGGAAATTGGAGAAGGCAAAACATAATGAAGTTGGAAGTGGAAGAGGGTCTGAAACTCAAGGTAACAAGATGCAGCAAACAAATGACATTATATGTCTGTGGATGGTGGTGCAAAAGAGTATAAGACACCAAAAAGCAGGGGAAGTCGTTGACCAAAAAAATCTCTCAGTCATCACTATAAAGAGAGTGGTTGGAACACTGATGGAGAAAAAAAGCATTAATGGAAAAGAGAATATTCATTTGGATATAATTATTGACCAATTAAGGGCTAGAGAACTAGATGAAAAAAAATAAATGAGCGTGAGTTAATGGTTCATTTGAGGGAGAAACATGTGGCTAAGAAGAATAACATGGCGGTAAAAAACAAAAGGAAACTTTATGGGAGCGGCATCACGTGGGATCATTAAAGATAAAAGATTGAAAGGCACACATGGAGTAACACGAGGCAATATGGGAAAAACAACTAAGGGTGTTAGTGATTTGGTTAAAGGGGTTTCGTTGGTTGAGACAAGGAAAGAGGAAATAGTTAACGTCAAAACTGATTTCCTTGGTGGGATAATTGCTTGTAAGAGCAATAACTTAGACCATTTAGGCGCAACAATCCTGAAGTCCTAAGGAATACCAGAAAAAACATAAGTGATAGGGAAGAACATGTATAACGAAACTAGGTATACTCAAAATCATTAAAAGTCGAAAGGCAAAAATAGAAAAATGAAGGAGCCAATGGGTCAAAAAATGGTAATGTTGACACATATGACTCGGATTTATAGGTCGTGGGGGAGACTCCAAATCAGAATCAAGGCTTTGCAGCCATCTCTTAATTTATCTTTATGGGATTTGAAAATATTAAGATAGTTATGTGGAATTGTAGATAAGCAACTAACAAAAAATTCTCGCGCGTTTGCAAGCAGTATATGCATGTTTGTCATCTAGATGTTTTTTTTTATATTTTTGAAATAAGAACAAATTCTGGAAAATTATCGCAAAAAAAATCAAAGCATTAGGTTTCGATGGTTATGACTACATAGGCTATGCAGGATGAATAAGTATGAGGTGGAAAACAAAGAAAGTGAAAATTATAATTTTAGAAAAACATTTTATGTTTATGCACACGGAGATTAAAGGTGTGGGAGGGGAAGAATGGCATCTCACAACTATTTATGCGAGCCTTCGGGAAGAAGGCAAAAGAGAGCTTTATGAAGATCTACAAAGGTTAACATCTAATGTAGTGGGTGGTTAGTTGGAGGATATTTCAATAACATTGTGTGTAGTTCTGAAAGGAAAGGGGGTGCCAATTTCGAAGTGAAATGTAATATGTTCATGAATAGAGTCAATGTTTATCATCTTATGGACCTATGGTATGTTAGGTAACGTATCCGTGGAAAGTATAATTTTTATATGCATTAGTAAAAGTCCTTGCTCAAATGGATTTTTCTGACCATCGTCCAATTTTAATCTCAATACATAAATTTGCGTGAAGTGTGAAAATGAATCCTCGTTCCCCTTTTTATAAGCATTTGTTCGCATAGAGAAGCGCAAAGGGTAGGATCCATTATTGCCTATCTAGCCTAGACCTTCTAGGCCTGAATGAAAATTGATTACACTATCACACGTGTCAAAAGGGGAATCTTTCTGTTGGCATTCTCAAGGCTGACACTTTACATTCCTCAGGACAAATCCCTCTAGCTCTCCATGGGCACATCCTTCTCGACGGGACACATGATATCATCCAAGCAGAAGCCTTACCGACATGACATTTCTTTTCCTTAAGCGTAAGTCTGGCCGACGTAAAACATCCAAAGGAAAACCACGAGCAATCAACGGTCGACCATACTAGCCATAGACAATTGACGAACACGCCCCCGAAGACTTTTGTTCTAACAATGACGACCTCAAAAAGCCTTCTCGCAACGCATTTCCTTCCCATCGGTCGACCAACTGGGCTAACTTAAGTCATTAATCCTCACCTCATAGCAACGACTTAGGGGGCTATTATTATGGATTGGACTGACACATGGCCCACAGTTGACAAGGCCCAATAAAGAGATTAAGACAATCTAGTCGTTAGGCACAATATATTCGTTGAGCATAACATAGTTGTTAGGCACAATATAGCCGTTAGAGAATATAGTCTTTGGGAACACCCCTCTCACGCGCTTGACAGTTCACGCGACCAACTTCCCCTTTGGAGTTCACGGGGACAGCTGGACCAGGTCAAAGATCACACGCTAGATATTCCACCTGGCAGTCTCCTATTGGTCGACCAGATATTTCAGCCACATCGGAGACCTTGACCCCGCACTGAGGAATTCTCATAAATACCCTCTCACTTGATAGGGTCAGGTATTCAAATCATTCTAAATCATATCTAAACACTTTGTACTTGCTCTCTATCTATCCTTAACTTACTTTGGCATCGGAGTACCTTGCAGGTACACCCCTCCTCTCTTACAACCACTGTTGCTACCCTACATTGAAGACCACGAAGATCCATTATGATTACCCAATATATATATATATATATATATATATATATATATATATATATATATATATATATATATATATATATATATATATATATATATATATATATATATATATATATATATATATATATATATATATATATATATATATATATATATATATATATATATATATATATATATTGTTGTGATCACAAACAATACCTTTCAACACTTTTTTTATTGATAAGCGAAGTTTCTTGATGAATAATGAGACGATTAGGTTTCTAAAGAGAGAAAGAAGAAAAGATAAATAAGAATGATGGAAGAAGGATTTAGGCAAACTGCTTTCTATTCACTTATTCAATGTTACAGATGATTACAAGTGGATAACATAATTGGCCTCACTCAACAACCTGAATGATCTAACATATTTATAGACTACAAGGTAACTTAAATAACAAGCTAACCTAAACAATTGGATCCTTAACACAAGGCTCAATTCAACATAATAATTCGACACTACATACTAGAACTAACTTCGACTACAGTATGTGAACACTTTGACATCAACATGTGAACAACCTTCAATTTCATCTTTGTCTCCTGTCGAATCATAAAAGTTATCCCAGTCGACAACACTTAGTTCGATCCAATATCTCACAAATATCCACCTTAAATTAAACTCTACAAACAACAGGGAATAAACTACCCTTCATCATGCAACTTTATCAACTGCACACAGTGGAGAAACTTGCAACTCGACAATGTCTTGGTGATCATATCACCAGCATTGTCATCAGTCTAAACCTTCAGCACTGGGACTTCACCATGCTCGATTATATCTTTGACAAAGTGCAACCTTACATCGATGTATTTGGTTCGCTCATGATAGGATGAATTCTTCAACAGGTGATAACTCGAACTTGAAGTTTAAGCTCCTTTGCAAAACCCTCAAGCCACAATTCTTCTTTCGTAGCTTCAGTGAGGGCAGTATATTCAGCTTCAGTGGTTGATAAGGCAACAACCTTCTAAAGCATCACTTTTCAACTGATTGTTGTGTTGAACATAGTGAACTCATATCCAGAAATAGATTTTTTGGAATCCATACAACCTGCATAATCAGGGTCAACAAATCCTTCAATTTCAAATTTGTTATCATCACCACAGACTCCACCATAAATCAGGACTCGACTCAGAAACCC